AAACAATTATCCGATGGATGGACTAGCAACAATAAGCAACTCGATGAGTTTATTAAGAAATCTCAATTACAAACAAAATCACCAAATCATGCCTATTTGGAATGGATTCCATATGATCATATTGATTTTAGGGAGTATGGCTCATATTTGTATGGTCCACCAACTAATTATTGTGTTAAATTGATTCCACTTGAAATAACAGACGAGACACATGATTTATATTATGCCGAGGTAACTATTTACTTATGCGTCATGTTTATTGAATACTTTAAATAATTATTGACTTGCTATTATATATAGTTACGTAATGAGCATCCAGATATGCTTACCACGGATGTTTGGGTTACCATCGGATTCACATATAATGAAAGTAGACAAAAGTATTGTCTCATAAAAGAAAAGTTTGAGGATGGATTATGTCTGGCATGTATGGGGCGATTAGAACCCAAGATAAATGCATTCTGTTATGAATGTAAAGCACCACGACCTCTTAATTGGACGACTAGTAACAAGTCATTAGATTTATTTATTATGAAATCATGGAAGAATACGAGTAACAAAGGTGATGCGTATATACAATGGATAGCGTATTCTCTATTAACAAACGTACAAGAAATGACATCATTACGCCATGGATGCACACATATAGCAGAATGTTTAGAACTGACAACAAATGGATTGACACGTGTGGCACTCAAAAAGATAGTTCGTGAAGGGGATGATCAATTTTATCAGGTAAATCATCTATGCAAATAGTATTATTGACGTGTGTATCAAGCAGATTACTGTTGTAATGACCGTTTATGTATTTTTTTACTCAAATAGCTAACCAAGGAATACCCCGAGATATTAACACCCGAGAATATTTGGATAATTGGGATAACTCAGGAGCCATCTACCCGGGAATATTTTTTAGTTTTCTACCATGATGTACATGCAATATTGGATAAATTTATACAAAATAATGAACGTATAATGTACATGCAGTATAACGACTTTTACGAACTCAAAGAGATTGGATGTGGTGGTTATGGAACAGTTTATACTGCCAAAGATAAAAGTGATTCACGAACTGTTGTACTCAAACGGTTTAACAGTTTTGATGAAATGCCGGAATTATTTATTTCCGAGGTAAGCAATTGTTGATGTTATTAATTAAAGTATATTTAATCTGACTCTGTATTTAATATTACTAGGTCAGAAATCATGCCAAGTGTGCGAGTGGATATTTCCTTAAAATTTATGGAGTCACGCAAGACCCAGAAACAAAAGAGTACATGATTGTTATGCAATATGCTAACAACGGTAATCTTTTGTCTTATTTGGGTCAAAATATTAACAAATTGACGTGGAAGGGGAAATTACAGTGTTTGGAGGGAATTGCATGGTATCTGTATGTTATTCATGGTGTGGGGTTAGTGCATTGTGATCTTCATGGCGGAAACATTGTTTTCCATGACAATACGCGTGAGATATATTCATTCATATGCGATTTGGGTCTCTCGCGATCGGTGAATTCGTGCGAGTCAACCATTCGAGGCGTTTTACCCTTTATTGCACCAGAAGTCTTCAATACTCGCAGATTTACTCAGAAATCAGATGTATATTCTTTTGGTATCATTATGTATTTGGTTGCTACTGGTGAACCACCTTTTAGAGATAGGCAGTTCGACAGAGATTTAATATGCGATATTATGGGTGGACTACGACCATCGATGCCTGATTCCGCGCCAGAGGAATACAAGAAACTTGCCGAGCGGTGTTGCGATGCTGATCCTGATAAGCGTCCAAATATATCTACACTTTATGTTGATATTGGTATGCTTATTAACTGGGGTACTGTTGTCAGCAACGCATGGAATGCCGTTTATCATAATGATGTCAAACCCTTATCACGTCTCGAGAAGGAGAGTAAATATTCTAGCACGCTCTTACCTACTGTGGATTCAGCTGCAGGTATGGTTACACTTTGGTACAAATAAAGTCTATTTACAATATTAATATTAACACTGCATTTTTTATAATTTAGATACTCAACCTCTTTTTTGAATAAATTTGTAATTCAACGGGCTTATTTACGGTTATACGAGTTTTATTCAAAAGTTCGAATTATACGACGTATGTCAATATGGTTGAGTTAACAAGATGCCGAAATAAATCGTGCATGTTTTGCCTTTGCCGGAGTAGATCATTTGAAAAGTAAATCTTGAGACTGATGTTTTATGAAATTGGTAATGAGATGCTGAATAAAATACTTAGCAACATTCGAGCTCGGTTCAGCACCAGCCGGATGATGCGTGCTTCCTGACATTGTTTTCATACCCAAACCAGTTCTTTCCAAATGGCCCCATGCAGTCGGCCAATAAGGCTTTGATAAACGCGATAGCCACTTCATGACTAGAATGCTCTGGAGATGCGATAAAAGCAGATCCGACACCTTCCGATTGAAGAAACTCCTGTAAGCCTAGGCCATTCCACGGTATTACGCAAGTGATAAATCATCAATCTACTTATATCCCTCAAAGCCATATCGCTACTCTTTTCATGATATTGCTACATAGCCTTAACGGCATCCAACAACGGAAATAAAATTGCCATACACAAGTGTGCCAACCATATATACCAAGACAGCTCCGTTCATATTAGGTAGTCCGAGAGTTTGAGAAATGTTTAGATATTCCCAATTTGACACAATTTGGCTATGAGCATAAATTAAAGTATTAATATTGTAGAATTTTGCTATTTTAATTAGTTCTCATTACCTCTCCTACCACGTTTATTGGCAAAGGAGATAATTTAGCACTCCGGGGAGAAATTAAATATGATAGGGGAGGTATTGATGAGGACACACTATGATAAATTTTATTTTTATTATAAATATTGATATTAAATAAGAAGCCTGATTCGAAATTTATAAGACGGCCCTCTTTGCGTAACGTTCTGAAACGCACCCTTATAACGCGTAAAAATTTAATGATTGTCAAACTACTAGTACATAGTCAACCTCGTTAATCCGAAGTCAACGGGATCGAGGCTTAAGTTCGGATTAACGAGGTTTGTTCTCAATAATCCGAACTTGCTATTGGATTCAATAATTATTCGGTTTACAACTTAAGTCTTTATTATTGTTGTTGTTATCACAACGTACACAGAATGGTTCTAAACGCTCCCACCTGCTAACATCTGATTATGTCGTCTCGCTTTGAGGTGCGAAAAAACTATCAAGATGTAATTGTCGCTTACTTTGTATTCAAGTACTTTAATCATTCTCTAAGATCAACTACAAGGCGGTGATTGATGTCGAATTTTGTCGCATATTCTTGTCTAATAAATCCTAAAATATTACCGATGCTTTCATTGGCTAATGCAAGCGAAGCTGGGCTTTCATCCTCGTATTCTTCGCACGGTTCTGGTGTTTCAATGCCCGTGACAATTTCTATGACGTCATCATCAATTGATATTCTCTCAGTTTCTCCAAGTAAATGATTATCTATCTCGGCAATCTTGGCTTACGGTTCATTATAAAAAAATAAATTCAAAGAGAGAGTTAAGCTTTATAAGCTGATGAGATTCTTCGGATTAACGAGGAATTTTTATATACGTTTTTCACAACTGCCTTCGGATTACGGATTACTATAAAATTCAGATAAACGAGGTAAATTTCTTATTAATAAATCGGGACCAGAATATTTCTTCGGATTACGGATTAACGATAACGAGGTTGACTATTGTTTACTAAATTTGTCCAATTGAAAGCACTTTTGAGTCTTTATCGATAAGAATCAATAGATTGTATGCGGAGAAGTAGCAGTATTTTATCTAGTCTCTTTGCTAATGAACGAAGTAATAATGTTGAGATGCTTTTTCTTGGCCTGTCATTAGGGTTTGCTGACTCGCGTAGTTAATACGCTTTAATCCTGGATCGTTTATATCACGTCTCCTATTACTCGTAATAGCAAAATGGATTTACACGCATTAACGAAGTTCGATTTCGGTCTTGAATATATCGCTTGTATTTCTTCGGCGCAATAATTAAGCCACTTATATTTATACTAACTCTTAAACCAGTGTAGAATAAGAAATAGAATTAAATTATTCCTTTTATAAATGGCTTTGATTTTATCCGCGCGAGAGTGTCCGTTCTTACACTGTTGAATTATTCAAGAGGATAAATGCACTTGTGTATTATCGAGACTTTTATTTGTTAGCTTATAAACCGAACTAATACTAATATTTCGCCTATACATACTAGTCGGACATATCTCCCATATTTAATAAATCGTCGTTACTATTACAACTCTATCTATTATCATCAATTAGTACTGAAATTAATAGGCATTATTAGAAACGTCTCCTAGTCTGATCACCTGATTAGCGTCCCGATGCCAACTGTGTTCGCGAGTTCAAACACAACCCCTCACTACATTTACCAAACTGCAATATATTACTATGAACAATTCTATTAAAATGTTAGTTTAAAGGATATACTAAATATAAGCTGTTTTTCCCCTGATAAGAATTGCCTGAAAATAAACATGAGAACAATTAGTTATTATTATGTTGCTTGTCCTATGAGACAATTGGCTTAGCGCAATAATAAACAATAATGATATAATCTCATTCTTTGTTAGGTAATAAATTGACGAACGTTGAAGATATGATGTAATAATATATTCGACGGCACAGTATTTAATTGAATTAAACCAGTAAAAAGACAGAGTACAATCTAAATAATACAATCTAATATAAATAAATTCTACGAAAGCATCATTGTTAATGAAAGCACGACTTGGCTTTCAGATAATATCCCATTCCTGATTCAGTTCCCATTGAACTAAATTTGCGGTTACCTTATTCTTCTTATGTTTGCAAAACCTTTTAAAATCACAATTAATACTGTGTTTAAAAATTTTCTTAAACACATCCCAAGAACAGTACAGCTCTCCGCATCCAGGTATAATTGTGGGCACTTCGTTCTTCAACATACGAATCATTGTTGATGACGAATCGCAGGTGTAGATTTCGAAATAAAAATTTGCAGCAAAGGGTGAAATTTGGGAGGAGCGGAATTTACGGGCTGAGATTTGACTTGATGTCCAATTAGCCTTTAGATGTTCATGATCTTTGTTTAGCCCCTAGAATGAGATAAAGTTTGTTAACAACGAGGTCGTCATCACAATATTGAGCTTGGGCAATAACTTTTCTATTTTATACCCCCACATCTTATATATCCCTCAGTTATTTACCCCCCATCGTAAATACTTACCAATAAAGTAGTCAAGAAAAAGACCGTCTCGGCATGTGCAAATCTAAGCACACCCCTCACCCAGGGTTCCTCCCCCCTGTTCCTCGTCTCAATTGCCTGTTCTACTCTTTCCACGAGATCTGTCACTAGTCTACACGCCATCAATTCATTCAAACGATTACCATAACTATACGTGTAATAATTGCTTATATCATTAAAATATTCCATAATTTTAAAATCATCAGGTCGTAGTAACGAACACCATGTATCACTCCTGTTGTAGAACGAGATTTCGAATCCACATGCACGATGTATGTACTCGGCGTGGATAGGTAGTAGAGGTGGAGATATGGTGAGCTCTTTAGAGATCCGATCGGCTATGGCAGGAAAGTATTTGGATATGTAAAAAGACAGTTCGCGTTCGCGGGTCGGGTTATTACGTTGTATTGAACGCCATATTGGGCAAGCATATTTGACGGCTAATTGGTCGTCCTCGTTCTTGGATTGGGGAGTAGTGTATTAAATAGGAGAAAAGTAACACGAGGTGAGTATTCAATATGAAGCAATAAAATGGATCTGTAAAGATAATAGTAGAGGAATAACAACTAGATCTGCTTGCCCGATCGAGATCGAACCGAACTTGACCTGCTTGCCCAACACTCTTTCTTTGACTTACCAGTGGTATGGTGTGTATATAAACAGGCTGAAATAATGGCTGCCCGAGCGATCCCTGTCCCTCAAACAGCCCAAGCGAATAAGCAACGCCAGACTGTCCCGATCTGTTCAAATTAAAAAGATTCTTTCGGTTTAGTAGAATCTCGTGAATAAATCTCGATGGGCTTGCGATAAAGATTAATGTAGCTGTAGTAACCGATAAAAGGGTAAAAAGATATTGTGACTTTAAATTTTCGCTATATCTAGTGAGTGGTATTGTTACACGCAGTTAAGTCTGATTTTCTCGATAACTATCGCATATGAGCTATGCAGGTAATAAGGCTTTATACAAAAACATGATTACAAACATCTACTCCATTAAAAGAAAAACAAGCGCTTTGCACCTCGACAACATACACATATTGCAAGACATGTGTAATGTCGCTACTATCGCTCAGCCTCCCAAACCATAACATCTTACCTGCTGATCGCCGAACTCTCGAAATCAAAAAGATTCGCATCGTACGTCGCGTTATCCAAAAACTTTTTGTACCTACTGTTTGCTCTTCTCCCCATCAAGTACAATTCGGCTTCTCCAGTTCTAGCCAACAGACCTGCTTGAAATTTCTTAAATGGATTCCTCCACTGCCTCCACCATGATTCTTCGTTTCCAACATCCTTAAACAAATCGATCAGTTTATTGAACTTAGTGACGTCTCCCCTTGTTGGATGCCGGATGCCATGACGAGCCAAAAGATATAATTGTGATAACGTGCATTGAGGTGGTGGGATTAATTCATCTGCATGAGGAGTTGTTATTGGATACGGTCGTTTCGTTCCTAAATGGTCGTGTAAATGAAAACCTTGATCACTATGACAAGCGCTAAGAATGATGCAAAAGAAGGCGAATATGATTAAGAAAATAATCTTTTGGCGTCTGGATATATGGTAGCGCATTTGTGAAGACGTTCACTGGAGGAACAAGGGAAAGAAAAGGAGGCAGGGAGATTTGAGTTAAAATAAAATGTCTATTATAATGACAACACATTATGGTAAATAGGGGTTACACTGAACGATTGTCAAGTTCAAGTTCCTTTTAAGAAAATTCAAACGTCTTGATTAGTTTGGGTTTATTTTTGACGTAAAAGGTCGAATGCAGTAGCAAATGCATTGATGTTAATCTCAAACGCTCTGATTAGTTCGGGGTTTTTGTTTTCGCTTTGGTTTACTATTATTACTTGTATTCGATCATACAGTACGCGTGACAGCCTATCAAATGAATTGGTTTTGCTGAATGATGATATTGATTGGTTGATTGGTTACCCAACTTGTTTCACTACAAACAAGTTTAGCCCCTTTCTCATGTCTACTAACTATTTGTTGTACATCATCCAGAATTGCATCATTGGATGAAATACTTAACTGACTTGCACCAAACTTCCCTAGCAGAAATCGTAATAAATGGTGGCATAGTGAAAACGCCAATTGATGCCTTTTTTTGCGGCAAATTGTTAAAACCACAATCTATACTACAGTAATAGTAACCCTCTTGAATCAGTGGAAGGGATGATTTTTGGGAGACAAGTTCTGTGTATAATAATGAAATAACGCGAAAATACTATCGTTAGCCCGACTTGAGATATGACTATTGACGAAAGCTTTGGTTAAAGTACTTCCACACTGTTGAATTAAAAAGACATATTTAGAACCACAGCTTGTGAACAAATCTGTACACAGTACTAATATCCAACATATATATATCAAGGCGTACATACACAGAAACTTATTATTATTTTTAGTTTCCTTAGCTTTAGCTTTCAAAAGTAAGAACAGTGGTGTGCAAAAAAAAAAAAAAGACAACGTTTAAATTGCTCTAGTTTTACAATGTAAAGCATATTATATGAAAGTATAATTGTGTTCGTGATTTATTCCACGTGACTTACACAACAGATCTCGTATTTTCTTCGCGTTCGGCTTTTGCTGCGGTTTCCAATGAATAGTAAACCATTCTTCTCGAGTACACCACTTTTTCAGTTCCTCACCCTAACTGATGCTGTGGCCGCTTCTATCACTGCTGATGGCCTGTTGACTATTATCAGCGAGAACGGCCAATTTCATCATAATCGATGGAAGACAGATACCCCCTGCATAGCTATCCCAATGCAACACCTCATGTAGTGAATTCGTCGTCAACTACCTCGACAATGGAAAGGAAAAAAAAGAAGAAGATAGCTATCAAGTCTATAACAAATTAGACGTGTTCGAATAATATTATTATTGGTTTTTATTTTTGGTAAAATTTATAAGTAATTTTTAATCCAGATATTCTTGGATAATTCATTCCATGCTGAATATTTCCCTTGTTCTCTCTCTGATTTGATATAAATTAGTTTCATGTTATTTTTATACAGAGATAATCTCATCTTATTATTAAACGTTTGTAAAGTTGTGTCACTGTCACTTTATCAATTTGAATGTCAGAGGTCTGAAAATGTGATCGAAAGTGATAGAACAAAGCTTCCAAACGCCATCTGTCATATTACTGTATATCAGTTCATACCAGCCATTTCGAGTTTCTATGATCAAATTTCACTTTGTCTTGGGTGGAATCTTTGTTTTCAAATGCATTACATGTTTCCTGCCTCAAAATGTTCTTGCTTAAAATAAATAGCACCAAAACAAGCCTTGTGTTTTTACTTTACATGAGACAAATAGGTCCAAAATGGAAAAGCTACCTATATACAAACTATAGAGAATACTGTAAATTTGTCAATTTTTTTTGCACACTGCTGTATCTAACACGTAAATTATCAACTCTTCTACTCTATAATTATGTCTAATTCTTAATAATTACATTATATGCTATACAATATACAATCGACATAGTGCTGATGAAAATAACAGAAGAATGCTGATGTAGTAGCAGTCCTTGCCGTATATTATTAGAACAAAGTCAATCGAACAACAAACAAAATCAAAATCATAACAAGAAACTTTATAACAAGTGTAACGATACTCACTCTCTTTCCCACAGTCAAACAACTCCGAAACCCCTTTCTAGATGTCGCGTTCATCTCCTCCAACTTTTCTCACTTATCCCTTAAATCCATTTCTAGTCTTTCTCCCTGTCTCACGATTTCTGCACGTAATTCTATGTTTCATCTTGATCGCATCAATCAAAAATTCATTCACCGGCGTACTCAATCCACACATGCGACCTGATTTTACAATGAATCCATTCACATAATCTATATCAGTTAGCCGACAGGAGAGTACCGCAGAAGACATTGGGGACGATATGTGTGGATGAGTGTTGCAGATTTGTAATACGGCATCGAGAATACGGTCGGGACCGAAGCGATTTGTCAGCGGAAGCGGAAGGGATGGTGAAACCGAAGAATGAGATGGCTGAGAGGAATGCGTGGTTGACGTTGTGAATTGCGGTTTTGGAGAGGATGAGGGTGAAGCGTCAAGCTTTAAAGATTCGTCGCAAGATACAACTTGAGATGACTTTTCATGAGCAACAGCATCGCTAGCCTCTCCACTGAATTCTTTGTCCGTATCACTCGTCTCTTCCATATTTGCTTCCCTTGCTTTTCGTTCTGCTTCCAAAAACCCTCCAATCACAAACCCACGATAAGCCCGGACTACGGCCGATGCTTCACTCACAACCTTTTTCAGTACTCTATTTGCTGGCATATTATACAATAAACTCCCGTACTTTACATTGAAAAGCGTGGAGATTGGCGCAAGACACGCGTTTATGAGAAGTTTTTCGAGTAAATGATCGATAACGACTGGGTAGAAGAGGCGGGTAAAGGAGAGAAGTGGAAGAGATGTAAGAATGGATATGGTAGAATGGAGCGATGACTGTGTGGTCGAGAATGAGTTTATACTATCTTTTTTGTTATCTTTTGCTGAATCGATATTATTGTTCTCTGAGTTAATTTTGGCTTTCTCCGAGTTAAAGCCATCAAGTCGTTCATTAGCCATACCACTAACCCTAACCTCTCTCCCATCTTCTCCGGGCACAATTCCAAAATATACCCTTCCCAATCTCTCCACCATAACCTCAAATTGTCCACGCGTATAACATCTATGTGTAGCGTCCGCAAGAACAATGTTTGGACGTACGGAAGGTTCGCGAAAGTACGTCTGTATCAAGTCTTCGTAAATGCCTAATGTTCCGTGGTGAAAAATGATAATTGTGGATGTGGGGAGGATACGAAGAAAAATCCGGGAGAATACAGAAAAAAAGTCTGGTAGAGACGTGGCAATAATTAGGGACGATATTGGAGTGACGTTGGGAGAAAGGGAAGGCAAAGAGGAGAAGGAACGAAGAGAAGAGTCTAACGAATTGGAGGGAAAATAGTAATGTCCTTTTGTATCAGGATCGGCATTCTTCACATTATTTTCTCCAAGCCCATATTCACTATCTGCTAGAGGATAAGCCAATTCATTTGATTCCACATCTCCAGTTTCATTGACACCCATTCCTGGTCCTCTCAACACCTCCAGTTGATATCCATTCGATGTTTCAACCGCATCGTTTTGATAATGCACTGTAATCACTCGATCCTTCCGCGTAAAGTTTGCGAGGGACAAGCGATCACGAAGCAAAAGAGTTACGTCATGATTGTTGCGTTTCAAAATATGGGCGATCAAGAAGCCGATGCCTTGTGTCCCTAAGATATGGAAGCGCATGAGAATTTTACAAAGAGCGGGAACAATTGAAAAAGAGGAAATGAAGAAAACTGAATAATTTAGCAATGTGATTGGTTGATGAAATCTTTGTCGATCAAATAAACCGATTACAATCAGTTATATTTTTCAGTATATTTATTTGCTATGCCTTTTCAAAAGTCGGATGATAAAGTAATAATTCAAGATGGGAATGAAAACTCGGTTGAGGGTAATTAATGATGTGAAAGTATACGTTAATGATCTCGAACTCACTCGTTCATCTCTGTGTAGTTTATTTCTATGGAGCGACAGTAACTTCATGGATAACCGCCGGAAAGGAGAGGCTCTTCCTGAGGTATTAACAGAGTTACTATTACTGACATCATTGTGGGTTGTATTAACGTTGATCTGACGTCCATATCAGTAAGAATGCCATATTGAATGGTACTAAAGCTATCCGCGGAGGGATACCATTGGGTATGGAAGAACATAAAATAGATAGATGAATGTGATTTATTAATCATAACCACACTTTGGAAAGCTCACGATATATCTCATTACTGTTCATCAGTATTTCCTCAATTTGGTAAAGCAGAAGACAGCGACGCTCCAACGGCTGCCCTTCCTCAACACGGCTTTGCACGGAATTCAAAGTGGGAATTCTTGGAGGGAAAAGATGGCGATAATGAAGTGACGGGAATTTTCGGTAAGCATGAGTTGTGGTGATGTATCGAGAGTCGTTAAAAAAAAAAAAAAAAAAAGAAGCTACAATCACAAGTTGGCAATAGAAAAACTTGATAATAATTATAAGGATGTTTTTTCTTTGTGATTTAGGCTTGTCTCCGTCATCAGTACCAACTGAATTGTATCAGAAATGGCCATTCCCATTCAAGCTGTTGTATACAGTCACCCTTCGTCCACAGTCACTTTCCACTTTTATATCTGTAAAGAATGAAGGATCTGAAGCATTTGATTTTCATACCCTACTTCATACTTACTTTTCTATCCCGGTGAGTGAGCGAGACTGTTGCTGTATAAGCGATTTCATAAAATGTGCAAGCAGTGTAGTAAAATGATTACAGGGATAATATTTATATTAATCGAATCTTGTTTGTTTCTGCTCAAGTTTAAAATATCCACTAAATGGATTCTATTAATAGGATATCTCAACACTCAAAATCCATAACTTGGCAAATAATGTCTTTATTGACAAAGTAGCCAATGGAGCACGCGATACAGAAACAAGAGAAGTCATCACCGTCAATGGAGAAGTAGACAGGGTATATGAAGACGTCAATGCCGAAGCTGTGCTTGTCCAATATGGAGATGGGTCCGGAATCAGAGTAAAGAGGATTGGAGTGAAAGATGTCGGTAAGTAGCTCTTACATGTGAATCTTTAGAGGTAGAATTTATGAGAGATCAAGAATGTGTTGGCTCCGTAATAACCTTTTTTTTCCTGATAAGACATGTATAAGGAGATAAAGGCATTGTATTTTTTGATACATCAATCTATGCGAAACCACTACTCATTCACACGTATTTTTTATATTCGTCATCCCCTCTTGATAGTTGTCTGGAATCAATGGGAAGCCAAAGCGGCGGCTATGTCTGATTTTGGAGATGATGAATATAAAGAAATGATTTGCGTCGAACTTGGCAACGTATCCAAGTACGTTCACCTTGCACCGGGTGAGACGTGGGAAGGTGGACAGGAATTAAGCGTCATTTAGGGATCCATGAATTAATGAGGAATGGGAGATTACTTTTGAAGTAAAGAGCAGTATATATCAAACAAAAAAGCATAACATTGGGTTCTGTTGGTTCGTCTGTCAAATGATTTAAGTAATTTATGGATCACGATTTGAATATGAGGGGTTAATGAGTATTCGAACGAGTTTAGACGTAAAATATCTACAATGTATACGATCTGGCGTGATCTGTATATATTGGCCAACACTTTAGAAAATTCCTTCGAGTGACTAAGTTTATTGAGTCGTTATTCTATACTGAGTGTGCATTCCAACCTCTCAATCTTGTTCTCTCTGTGGTGTCCTCCTAATCGGTATTAGTATTAGCAGAATATTGATTATTAGACCGTTATCATTATGACCAACTAACACTCGTACAATATTCATTGTCAGTTAATAAATAGTTATGCATCCTAATTAAATATTTCAGTGCTTGACTCTATTTGTAGTCATCAGAAGAATATTTACATTCGACTATCTATCAGAATGATACATACCTTGCCACCAGACGACGTTGGCAGTATAGAGAGGTCAATAGGATTTTCTTCCCACTTTGATTGTAATTGGCTGTGTGACAACAACGCGCAAAAAAAAATTTTTTTTTTTTTTTTTCGAGAGTAAAATTAGGTATTCCGTAATAGATAATACGAACATCAATAATATTAGTATGTTGCATTCGATAGACATTGCGTGTTTTAGCCAATTATGTGTGTATTTTAATTAATAAAATATAGACTAGGCTCTTGTGCTCAATCTATTGGATCGTCGCTCAGAGGTTGTACTCGGTGTTTGTCTTCAAAGAAGTCCTAGTTTCTCTTTTGATCGTTTTTCAAACCTCATTTTTGCGATTTTGTCCTTATAAACTATCTTTATTTCAACCAACAGATTAATCGCTTAGGTTCTCTATTTGTGAATAGTGTTTGCTTTTAATTACGCAATGGCAGAACGTCCTCGCTTCGTTCTTTCCGTCCTTTACCGCACAGTTGTGCATATCCGCATACATAGATACGCGTAGACCGCTGTGCGGAAAATTTGAACAGTCGCTTTGCGAGGTATCGATTTATTTGCAAATCTCTGCGAAATAGTCACTTTGGAATCAGTCCAATGTCCAATATTATTATATTAACGAACGGCCTATAAGAAATTGACAACGAATCCTTTGTCACTTTCCAGTCAAACGATTGCAGGTTGAGGGGACATGGAATTTATACAACGTTTGCTTCTGTATAATAAGCAATTTTCAAACCGTTGCGTATTGATCTGCCGATCACCTGATCATCGGGATATGCAACCAATCATATGTTTAATGGGATGATTAATATAACGATCGATTAGTGCTATTATCCTATTGGTGTTTAACGTTACTTTGTCATTTTTCAGTTTTTTGACAAGGTTGAGACTAGCTAGTTTGTTGGACCAAAGCAAACTTTCTTCGCTGCCTTCCATAAACATTATTATAAATGAACAGCGGGTTCTTGTAATAATTACGCAATGATCGTAATGGCGAGTATACTATATTGCTGTATAGAATATGATTAAACTTGGGTTCGCAGTGGAAAAGTTATTGTGCATAGAGCATTCTGTATCACGGGGATTTCATGCCTGTGAGAAAGGATACATGCCGTTAACGGTGTGAAGTGTAACACCTAATCAGTGGAATCTAGCAATCTAGGCCAATGGTAGACTGGTTGACCAGATTGGACCTGCATGAGTGATAACCAATCTAATCTTTGGATCCATTTAGATGCAACTTAGAATTACTCTTCATTGCTATTATTATGAAAATACCACATAACTATTCGTATGTCACCAATCACACCAATTATCACAGCACACCCTACTTTTATTTCTGTACCCTATGGGGTGTTTAATAATGTTGGTGATACATACAAATATGTATACCAAGGGCACTATCAAGACATATGACGGATAGATGATGGATGGATAGATTATGTGATGGATGGATGACGGTGGATGGATTGTTGGATAGTTGGAAAGAAGGGAGAAGGGGGAAGAAGGGTGTGAGAAGGGTGAGAAGGGGAAGAAGGGGAAATGGGGGGGAAATAATGAGGGGATGTATAACAACTATAGTCGGGGGTATAACCGAAGACTGAATGAGTATATGGGATTATTGTATTTTTAATATAAATATATCATTTTATATTGTAACTTACTTAATTGTATTTATTTTATTTATATAGTATTGTATATACATATATATTCACATTATTGTTGTTATAACATTCTCATTGCGTATGTGGCGGATTATATTCATCCGTTGGCACGTAACACAATTTCCCTTTTTTTTTCTTGTCATACCAATATGTATATACAATACAATTAATACAAAACACTTCCACAAAATACCATTCCGATAACTCCCATCATCATCACCTCCGTACAACCCAAACAAATCAAGCAAAATGAGGCACCAGACACACCCGAGTTGGTCTTGCGCACTTTTTGTTAGACATACAAATACCCAAAGCTCCATTTTTACCAGTTATCGTTTGACGATACCGATAGACGATATTAACTAACAAACACACATACCCCGACACTAGTTAATAACAGCATCCTGATAACTTCGTGCGAGCAACACACGTTAATATCAAACAACTCTAACATATTCTAAAGCGTAGAAAAGCTGAAAAAGCAGGGATACATACTACAAATACATACTCTCAAAGAACGCACAGTGTGTTTAGAGAACACATTGATAATAAATTGAACAACCTGCAAAGCTTTCAGTTGTAACTTGCAACTACTACTACTACTACACCGCCACCTTTAACAAACACCCATACAATGGCAAATATTCCTAGCTCAACTTTTGCTTATGGTTCAACGGGACAGGCAAGGAGTAATAACACGCAGGTGGGTTGACGAGGTCGAAAGGGTAGATAGAATAGAAGATTAGGAAATATGTGGGATAACCGACTTGATAATATTGAGAAGAGCAAAGTAAAAAAGAGCTTTATACGAGAAAAACGAATATAATGTTTATAACGTTTGTGTGATATAGAAGAATATACACTTTCTTTCTAGTATAGATGCACTTGTATTTTCTTTCTGTTGTTTGACCGACTATTTCATACGAGCAAAAGGTCCTAGTTAATTACTGGAATGACTAAAAGTAATATTATATATGAATAGACAGGGTAGAATGGTATATGCAACAAGCACATGGAACGCAGTACTAAATAACTAAATAACACTTACATTATTTAGATGCCTGTCGATTCAGAAAAGCGGAAATCAAAATCACGGCGGAAAGTGGCCGAATATGACGCTAAGAGCGAATACGAAGGGTCAAAGGTAAGACGAATACTGGACTTTGTTGATGTTTGGGACGCGCACCAAGTAATAGGCAGCCCTCTCGTCAAAAAAAACCCAACACCAGTGCTATCATATAACTCACCTTCCCTGTTCTCTTTTATTTTAGGACCACTTGAGAGTGCTTATGGATCAATACGGAACGAAATCGAAGGTAGTGGAAGATATAAACCGAGAATCTACTGAACTCCAGAACAAAATAATGGATCTTATGCGTAAGGCACAGATGAGAGGAAAGGTAAGGATTAGTCTATCGATTATATAGGAAGAGGCTTTTAAGGATGAACTATTAAATCGATAGTTTTGGGAGCCTCCAACAGTTCCAGCATAATTCACTAACGTCGTATATCTTTCAACTCAAACAGCCCTTCAGTTTGACTCCTTCTCACACCTTCACCCAGACCGCCGGGCCCTGTCCCACTCCATCAACGCCACAAACATCTTCAACGATAATGGAGCCAGCACCATCGAAACAAAGCGAATTCTCATTGACGCGCACTTTCTTCTGGCTGCTCTGGTTACCTTTTCAAATCGCATTTGGTATCTTGAGAACTGTGTACAGGAATCTGAACTGGGGAACAGTGCTGTTGACTGTTGCAATGATGGAGTTGACTATTGTTGGAATTATCTGGGGGTGAGTTGTTTGAATCTTTTTTTTTTCTCTTCGCCTGCACATCTTTGTTTGATGTAATCCATTTTACTGACAATACCCGTTTCTCGTATTCCTTTTTTCGTACAGCATTCGTCGTTCGCATCACAACTATCTTTATGTGGAACCATATGAGGCAGAGATCCATGGTACCTTTGGAGTCGAATCATCATCACAATTTGACATGATCATGAGCGTCATCTCCATGATAAGGGACTTTTTTGCCGAGGTTATCAACGGAGGACGAGGTTTCGGGAGCCCCGAATACGTTGGGTATGTGCCCATATGAAGTAAAGGAGTGAAAATGTAAACCTCGTACTTCAACGAGTCACCTATTAGAAGAAAAAAAGAATGACGATGGCGTCCGGAGGAGAAGTTGCTTACAGAGGAAAGACGTCGTTGACGACAGAGTGCAGTCGACGACGAGTAATTGTTATTAGTGATAGAGATCAGATCTTTTCGTTGACAGATATCCTCGATTATCTACTGTTACTCTTCACTTTTGTTACTTGTCATTATTACTGTCGACTGCTCAGTCAATTAGCGCTGTTTTCTTTTATATTAGTTGGTGTTTCGTTTATGCTAGATCTCTAGAATTTTTAGAGTCTGGATCTATTATTGTTTGTTTGTTTTTTTCTTTTTAGGGACAATTGTTTTTTGTGTGTTTGTGCTTGGGTTTCTATTTTATTTCTTTTTTAAAATAATTTAATTTTCTTTTGATTACCCGTCCTGTTGGTTTATTTTATTTCTTTTTCACTGTTGTTTATTCGGTTGTTCATTCGGTTGCATTGATTCAACTTCAAATCAAAATTAAATTCCTTTGCCTTCAACCTTTTCATTGTCACATTCAATCACACTCCCAAATGCACTCTCAATCACACTTCTCTTTGTAAGTATTTTTTGTTTCCTTTGTTTTCATTTTTTTTCTTGTATTTTTCACCCTTTAGATGATTCGACTACTTGTTTATTCCCGTTGCACTGAACTGTACTGCATGAT